ATTAGTTGACATTACAGAAATTGTCCATAAATTTCTTAAACTGTGTTCTTGCACTTCAATAATCATTTGTACCAATTTATGCGATTGTTTTGCAGTTCTTGAGAAATCTAATAGATAAAGGTATAGTAGTGAACAGCTTAAATGATCAACAAGATAAGATTTATCAATCACAGTGGGTTAACATTACTGAAATTGTGAATAAACTTTCTTTATCAGTTATTGCCCGAAAAGACAGTTTTTGCTAAATTTTTAGATTTTGTAGTTATCATAAGAACTATAATAGATATGGAGAAAATGTGAACACCAAGATTGAATCTACAAGAAAAAAAGGATGTATTTTTTTTTGTGAAGAAGGAGGAGGTCATGGAAAAAATTCTCCACAAAAAAATAGCAAATGAGCAGACTGAACTCCAAGGTAAATTCAAAAAGGGGGAAGTCCATAAAACTTGAAAAAAAAGTTCGACTATATCAATCAACGCAAAGACTGACAAACAACTGTCATATCAGGCATTTTCCGAAGAAAATGATGGGTTAAACCTGGTTTGATAGCTAGCTAAACCTCTCACTTGCATGACAGTCGTTTATAGTTCCGTTATATTGACAACATTGTGTGAGCAACCCAAACAGACATAATTGGTAAACGTGATAATAATCAAGATTTGTTTGAAAATATTGTTTCCGTCCACGCAAAATCCTCTTGCCCAACACCACCCAAGAAATAAATGGTCGTCCTCTTAGCAATTATGTTCATTTCCTCTCGTTCTTCAAGATTCAAAGGACCTGTCTTAAAAATAACCTTTGGATTTGCCATGGAATACAAACCATTTTTTGTTTTCAACCTTGCAATTGAATTCGCAAAAAAATCGGTGATCATGCGTGCCAACCCCTTAAATGGAAAAATTTCTCTTTACATTAAAGATAATTGCGATGTTTTGAACTTTATGTGTAACAAAGGATAGTGCATGGTCCTTGAAAAAAGGTCAGCCATCTTGCATGTTTATCTATAAGGGCCCGTAATTATATTCTGTCGATTGTTATAGGCACTGTTTCGATTTTAGTGAAACTGGGCACTTTAGCAATAATTTACTTAAATAGTTGGTTAATAAAGACATATGATGCTTGCAGGGAGAACAAAACATACTGTTTACTCGTTAAAAATCAGTGCTCAAAGGCTATGCGAGAGCATATATTGTTTATTTCTATTTACTCTCACTCATTTGATTTTTCAGAGATTTCTGTATAATGATAAAAAAAAAATACAGATGGATAGCGTGTATTATATGTTGGGATGTATTTTATACTAAAAGATGAAACTGTAACATTATTACTGGAATGTTCAAATTTCTAAAACGTTTAAAATGAGCAAAAGGTGATTTGTGTGCTTCCTGCATCAAGATTGTCTCGCCATGAAGAAATTTCCAATACATTTTAAAGTTAGACCCAGGTAAGAATAATCGCCACCCACACTTAAAGTTTCTTTAAATACGTTAAGATTAATAATCAATCTGGCTGTACGTTTAAAACAAAATCACGATTTCTATGAATACTCTTTAAGTTTCCACTGTATACAATAATTCTCATTTTTTTTTAACATATACTGCATTTTTTCTGGACTTTTAGGTAATAATATAACTGTGGTCAGCATATACAAATACAATCAAATTTATATAACACTGATTTTTATTCACAAATTCACGGGTGATAACGTCGCCATATCGAAGAGCGTTTAGTATGTAGTGATTTTGTCATGATTTGGTCCAGTCGGTCGTGGTTTGGTTAGGTCACTCCTCCAAACGATTGCCTTAGTTCTATACAAATAAGCATAGAAAAGTAAATAGACGTTTGATTCAATGTTTTACGTCAAACTTTCAATATTTAAATTGTGGTTGTTAAAAATAATGCACGTAAAACATGATTTCGAAAATTGACATGGTTTGGTTAAGTGTTCCAAATTTTGTCATGGTGTTGATCACATTTGTCATGGTTTCGATAAAAATTTGATGCCTATTAGTTTCACGAAAATATTGTGATATTTTGTTCGAATGCGTCGCTAAAAAACCCAAATTACACAATATACCAAATGACTAAAAAAAAGAAGCCTTTCTAACCAATTAAATGGGTTTAATCGGTGAACTATACATGAAAATCTTACTTATAGCTCGTATCCAAAGATACCATAATAGAAATCTAACTTATAGTTCGTATCCAAAGATATCATAATAGCTTTCCATATATATAATTAAGTCTCCCAAACGAAGTTTGGGAAGACTTATTGTTTTTGCTCAGTTCTTATTATTATTATTCTTCTTCTTCTTCTTCTTCTTCTTCTTCTTCTTCTTCTTCTTCTTCTTCTTCTTCTTCTTCTTCTTCTTCTTCCGCCGCTTTTAAATTTGAACTTGTCCGCACCCGTTCTCCAAAACCGCTTGTCGGATTAACTTAGGGTTTCACAATATGTTAGACTAACATGTCTAGTGGTGCAATCAGGGTTTTGTTTTTGCAATGGGGTTTATAAAGGGGTACTTTGAGGGGCAAAAAGAAAAGAGGGTTTTACTATAGAACCCTATGGGATTTTATTTTTTTAAATTTTCAAATGATTATAAATTGAAAACCGTTCGTGATAGACACAAACTTTTTAATTGAAAATGTTCTAAATGATAAAGCCCATTAAATGAAATACAGGGTTAGTCCCCAGGGGTCACCCCCACCCCCTGCCATTTAAGAAAGTTCTAATACCTTGTAAGTGGTCAAGATCCCCACCCCTAAACCATATATATTCTGGTTTGTCATGCTAAGATGGTTTGAATGATATACAGGGTAAGTCCCCAGGGGTCATCCCGACCCCCTGCCATTTGAGAAAGTTCTAATATCTTGTAAATGGTTGAGATCCCCACCCCTAAACCATATATATTCTGGTTTGTCATGATAAAGCACATCAAATGTTATACAGGGTTAGTCCCCAGGGGTTACCCCCACCCCCTGCCATTTAAGAAAGTTCTAATATCTTGAAAGTGGTTAAGATCCCCACCCCTAAACCATATATATTCTGGTTTGTCATACTGAGATGATTTGAATGATATACAGGGTAAGTCCCCAGGGGTCATCCCGACCCCCTGCCATTTGAAAAAGTTCTAATATCTTGTAAATGGTTGAGATCCCCACCCCTAAACCATATATATTCTGGTTTGTCATGATAAAGCACATCAAATGTTATACCGGGTTAGTCCCCAGCGGTCACCCCCACCCCTTGCCATTTGAGAAAGTTCTAATATCTTGTAAATGGTCGAGATCCCCACCCTAAACCATATATATTCTGGTTTGTCATGATAAAGCACATCAAATGTTATACAGGGTTAGTCCCCAGCGGTCACCCCCACCCCTTGCCATTTGAGAAAGTTCTAATATCTTGTAAATGGTCGAGATCCCCACCCCTAAACCATATATATTCTGGTTTGTCATGATAAAGCACATCAAATGAAATACAGGGTTAGTCTCCAGGGGTCACCCCACCCCCTGCTATTTAAGAAAGTTCTAATATCTTCTAAGTGGTCAAGATCCCCACCCCTAAACCATATATATTCTGGTTTGTCATGCGAAGATGGTTTGAATGATATACAGGGTTAGTCCCCAGGGGTCATCCCGACCCCCTGCCATTTGAGAAAGTTCTAATATCTTGTAAATGGTTTAGATCCCCACCCCTAAACCATATATATTCCTGTTCGTCATGTAATGAACACTTGAATGACGTATAGGGCCAGTCCCCAGGGGTTCCTCCCCACCCCCAATATTCTAGTATCTTGTAAATGGTCGAGATCCCCACCCCTAAACCATATATATTCTGGTTTGTCATGCCAAGATGATTTGAATGATATACAAGGTTAGTCCCCAGGCATCACTAATGCATATAACTTTACTGGACCAAACCAATTTTCACTGGACGTTGCCCAATGTCAGGCGACCCTGGGAATTACGAATTATGGGAGCTTCGTTTGGGAGACTTCGTAACAGCATCCTGTTACAATCATTTCTTGTTGATATAGGCATTGGACATAATTCTATTGTGTTGCCATTCAGGATGGAACTCTGTTTCGCCTAAAATCTTCGAATGTTGGTTCCAATTATGTCAGGGATGTATAGATAAGCGACATTAGGAGTCAAACGATAAAGACCGGTAAACTTTGGGTTCTTTTATCCTGGAATCCTATGAGAAAATTTCTCCATCAAGACCTCGGAATGGTGTGTTAACAAGTAAGCTTTTAAACCACCAAGCCTTATGCAAAAATAGAGATTTGCCATATCTGATCATTTATGTGTATTCACAAAACAAACCAATGTGCGGATGGACTCAGTACAATGATAAATCACACAGTAATCAGTACGTACCGTCGTCATATACTTTTCTTGTGGCAAATAAGCCATGTCTGTTTTGTTTCTTTTTGTTGTGTTATTTTTATTAAATTTGATTTTTTTTTGCCGGAGGGAAGGAGGTGCGTCGTTCGAAAAAAATTTCAAATAAATCCTACTTTCAAACCAGCTAGGCTGGAGAAACCAAAGCACAAACACGAATATAAAAAAAAAATAGGCTCAAAAACTTAACACGTCAAACTGTTTAACGCCATTATTACGCTAAAATCACTCTTGGTTTTTGTGTGTGTGTGTGTTTTTTTTTATTAATATACGCATAAGTTTTCTTTTCAAATCAAAAAATTGTTAAGAATAAACATAGTAACGACTTCGTTTACAATTCCCCATAAAAATTACAATTTCATGAATTTCTATAGATTTTCCGAATATGAACAAAAATGTGATGTTCGGTTGAAGTTTACTACACTGCAATCAAACGACAAAAACAACAAAAAGACATCTATCTAGTCCTCAACAATGGACACAATCTATACAATATGTCAAGCTCTAAATCGTCCCATGTCTATAATGTGGATAAATTAAATTGACACGATCAAAGAGTATTAATTTACTTAAGTATTTATTATTGGTTTTTATAGGTGTGACAAAAGAAAACTACGACTTCAGTTATTTGATCATCTCTACACAGAGCAAAGAGGTAGTGCCAAATTCCACTGAATTTATTTACATGCCGGGCTGTTTCAAAAAGTCTTTCATTCTTTACTTAAATTCATATACTAAAGTATAGTATCACAGCCTAATGTGTGTACTTTATAGGGCTCTAACAATAGGATGGCTTATTTCTAAACAGATCACCAAATTGTAAGTGCATGAAGAAAGCCCAATCCCGCAATTTGACAGATTTTGGCAAATTTTGAGTATTTATCTAAAAATGTATAAGAATATCATCGTTAACCAAAACCAAACTTCTGCTGAAAGTAAAGTTAAATATTGTATTGCCGATACAAAATAATTCATTTTGGTTAGAGACGTCATTCGATACAAATTTCGACAAAAATAAGTAAAATTTTCAATTTTGTGTCAAAATGCCTTGAACAGCAACATATAGAGCTGGATAGCATTATTTTTTAAGCTCATGGAAATATGTAAAAAACGTTTTTAGTGTATGATATAGACTCTTTGACATTTAATTTCCAGTAGGATTTAACAACTTTTAGATGTTGACCTTTTGAGTGAAAAAAATACACCTGTAAATGGGTCCTTTCACTTAACGTCGACAAATGAAATTAAATAAGATTAAAAAAATGGGCAAGAATTTAAAAATGTTAAAAGTCGTCAGTTACTATCAAAATCCAGTATAAACGATCTATGTAGAATTAGGCCTATTAAAAAGATCTATATATAGGGATCTTAGAAGTCCTTTATTATTCAAAGTTGTATTGATTTTGAAAGAACTGTTGGTAAAGAAGACAAACTTTCTTTGCTTGGAATAGCACAATTTAATTTTGAATAATCCAGATCAAAATTAAATGCTCTGCAATTTTACTTTTTCATCTAAGTTCTGATTTCCAAGACCTCTTGTTGAGCTTTGATTTTAATATGACCGCACAATTATTGCGGTCGTATAATGGTATGACGTTGTCGTCGTCGTCGTCGTCGTCCGAAGATATTTGGTTTCCAGACAATAACTTAAGTATAAATGTATGGATCTCTATGACATTGTACCACACAGTTCCATACCACAAACGGATGGTTAGGGTTGAATTTGGGGGTTATTGTTCTAACTGTTTAGGAATAAGGGTCCAAAAACAAGCATTTTTCTTGTTTCAGGATAATAACTTGTATAAGTGTATGTATGGATCTCTATGAAATTGTGCCACAAGGTTCTATTCCTCAAAAGTAAGGTTGGGATTAATTTTAGGGATTATGGCCCAAACCGTTTAGGAATTAGGGGCAAAAAAACCCAAGGATTTTCTGGTTTCCAGACTATAACTCGAGTATAAGTCTATGGATCTCTATGAAACTGAACCACAAGGTTTCATACCAAAAAAGGAAGGTTGGGATTGATTTTGGGGGTTATAGTCCATACCGTTTAGGAAAAATAGGCATTAAACAATATTTTTCTAATACTTTGTATAAATTGCTAATTGCTTATTTTTTTTTTTTTTTTATTTCTTTTTTTTCTATTTCTTTTATTTTTTATTCAAAATAAAAAAGAAAAAGAAATTACTTATTTCTTGACCAATTTCAATGGGGTTTAATTGAAAGTTTTGATTTTATGGGGTTCTTTAATATGCTGAATCTAACCGTGTATTCAGATTTTGGATTTTAGGGCCCCGTTTTTAAATTGGTCTAAATAGAGGTCCAATGTGTCCAAAATTAATCTTTGTTTGATTTCATCAAAAATAATTTTTGGGGTTCTTTGATATGCCGAATATAACCGTGAATGTATATTTAGATTTTTTTTATTTTGGGCCCCGTTTTCAAATTGTTCCAAAGGGTCCAAAAATAAACTTTCTTTGATTTAAACAAAACTTGAATTCTTCTGGTACTTTGAGATGCTGAATCTAAACATGTATTTAGATTTTTTTTTATTTTGGGCCCAGTTTTTAAGTTGGTCTAAATCGGGGTCCAAAATTAAAGTTCAACAAAAATTGAATATAAATGGGTTCTTTGATATGCTAAATCTAACCTTGTATTTAGATTATGGATTTTGGGCCCTGTTATAAAATTGGTCCACAATGAGGTCCAAAGGGTACAAAATGAAAGTTGGTTTGATTTCATCAAAAATTGAATTCCTGGGGTTCTTTGATATGCTGAATCTAACCATGTATTTATATTTTGGATATTGGACCATATTATTAGTTGCATAGTGTGCTAGTGACCTAATACGATATTATATATGGGGTCAGTAAATTCCATATGGGTGAGAGCGAAGCTCGAATCCCCATATGGAATTTACTGACCCCATATATATCGTTTTAGGTCACTAGCACACTATGTAACGAATTTATCTTACCGACTATCTTAACATGTGGTATTTACACTAGTGGTCTATCAAAGTGATCAAGTCTTCAATACCGTTAGTATTAAGAACCTACTTTCATTTGTCTATACAAAAACAAATGCCAACAATAACAGCTTGTTAGCTTTAAATGTGTTTTATGAATTTATTTCAATCGTTCATCAATTTCTTCGTCTGTTGAAACCTTTCAGATTTTTCCTCAACTCCGTGTTGTTTTAGAAAGGGACGTAACAATATCAAGATGCGCCCTACAGATCATTTCATTTATTGTGGAATGATAAAAAATTCGATTTGCTAAAACGATTGGATCTGTCGGTAAAAGATAAAGCTGAGATGCCCGACGGACAACATCTAAATCAACACAAATACAAGCTGTGTTTTCCTAAACCATCATTTGCTAAATATAAATATTTTAGCATCTCCTTGGCATATCCATTTTTTATAGTTATTATGCTGTAATACGTAACTATTTTTGCCGTTGGTTTTCTCGATTGAATTATTTAACATTTTGTCATGTCGGAACCTTTTATAGTTACTGTATTGTATTGGTTTTGAACATTGTTAAAGTTTAAATGACGACCTATAGTTGCTTACATCTACGTAGTTTGTTTCTGGTGGGTACCGTAGTTGTAATATTGGCAATCATACCATATCTTCTTATATTTATATTGTCATCTCTGTAGTTTTTTATTTAACCAGGAGAAATCGATCTCCTTGGTTAAGAGTAAAGTGCCCCAGAATTGAAAATAAATCTTCGTTTTTCATCTCATAATATTGACAACAGAACTCCACTCTGAAATGCAAATTAGTAACATACCTATATGGAATTTCATTTTTAAAACTTTGACATTTTCCAAGTGAAAATCGTATCATTGAATCTGTTATCATTGTCGTCGTTTTAGACATGTATTTTCAATATCGCTATACAGGCGAAAACCCAGTTGAAATTATACAAAAGAAATCGAACACTTTATTAGAGAAGGTAAAAAAGGCCTAATTGGTAAATTTGAATTGTTTACATCTGTTTCTATGGGCTTTAAAAGTTTAATGAATGTGCATAATTTAGAGTTTTATGCATCTTATATATGTGTTTTTACTTTAATTATGGTATTGAGCTTCGAGATATTTTGTAAACTTTTAAATTATAGACAAATTTTCACAAAACAGTCGATTGTGGTAGGTGCAAATACATGTGGATCTTTTTTGTGCATAAACATAAATTCCGCCGAAAAAAAATATTCCAAAGATAGATAATAGATTGATCTTTTTAAAGCATTAACTTGCATCTCTGCCCCGGCGACAGTTTTTGGGAAAAAATCAAAAAAAATGGCAATAATTTCATCGAAAAGAGAAAGTCGAGTACACCTTTTTTATGTTCTGGCGTGTCTGAGTTGACTATTCTGTCTGGAAAACGTACAAAAGAAAAATACTTGATACATCATCTCGCTTCAGATTCTATTATTTTTATATATTTAGGCTAAAGGTTGATATAAGAACATTAAAAATTTACAGTACTAAAAATGAAATATATGGGTCAAGTGAAATACCTTTCTAAGGGGTCATAACAACAGAGTAGGTGTGTTCGAATAACAAATTTTTACTAAAAGTACTTGACGACAGACTTTACAAGTGGATCTTAGATATGCATAACTTCAAAAAAGCTTTATTTTTTGTGTGTGTCATCTAGGGTAATTAGTCTCCAACCCCTGAAAAGTTTTAGTCTGCCCCTCCACGAAATATATAATTAGAATTTTTTTTAATATTTTTGAACATTCGAAAATTACCCCTGACAACCGATCAGACAATAATCTTAAGTTGACCAAATGCATAAAAGTACATTAAAATTATGCTCAATAGCTAGTAGATACATTTGTCTTTTAAAATACAACGGCATATAAGGATCGTAATGATGCTATGTGAATAAATCAGTTTTTAAGAGCTAAACTGACAGAGCGTCATCACTACAATGGCTTCCATTTTTACGACTATAAAAATTAGGTGGCGTAATGGGGAGATAATTTTGACGAAGTAGAATCCTGACTGTATAGGCTTAAATCATTTAAATAATAAGTGTATCATGTATATTCGTTTGTTCATTTATCTCACTAATTCTATTTCATATGCATGATATACATGTATGAATTACAGAACTGAACCATGTCGAACATGGACCTAACCATGACATTACTTAACAAAAACCATGACACCGAATTTTGATAAATAAAAAAATTATTTGCAAAATCGGCGATCTTTTTTTCAGAATATTTGAAAGCAATTGTAAATTATAACCAATAATGTGTTGTTACACGCAGAAAAAGGACGTTTTTTTTAAATATGTGTGGAATACAATAACCCAACGTTAAAAATTGTCGTACGGAAGCGTTGTGTTTGGTACTGTATGATTCCTTATTTGGCATATCCAACTAAGTCAGACATCACGTGACTTTTGTGACGTATACTAGCCGCCATTTTGTATTATATTGCCCCATATAAAATGCATAGGTGCTTCAATAAAGTTTAGTTTTCTCATGAACCTGACCCGTTTTCTAACTTTTGCAAATCAATCCTTGATATTCAAACATATTTCTATCAAACAATGTTGGTCCTAACAGTTTAATTTTTGATTAAATTCTGTCACTGGAGAATCGTAAAAACATGTACTTTTTCTCGTTATTTCTCCGTTGACTCAATGCTAAATGTACCGATACCCATGTCTACTTGTATAAAAAATAAAGAAATTCCGTTAATAAAAATAAAACTTTGCAACTCGATTAAGTATATTCAAACATATATCTGGCGAAAAATACTATTTAAAACAGTTTAATTTCTGGGCAATTTCGGTCAAAAATCGATTTAAAAAAGTGAATATTTCGGGATTTTTCAAAATGGTGGATGATGTATATGGAAATGTTGCATCAAATCGAGGATTTGTATAGTAAGACTTTCCTTGATTTAATTTAATTTTCATGTAGAATCTCTGATGTTTCTGTTATTTTCTTTGGTGATATTTCGATATGATTGATTTCAAAATGTATTGATTAAAAAATATTATTTTAAGTGTGACACGGGAACATTTTATTTTGACAGATATCCAGGATATACTGTTACCAGAAAATAGTTAACAATAAAATTTATAATAAAATTTTTTCTCTTCTTTTTTTAAAAGGTTTTTTTCCTGTTTTCTGTATAATTTATCTTTCTTTAGAAATATATTTATACATTCCTTTTAGAACAAAAAAATATTTACGTCCCAAGAGAGAAAAAAATCCCAACAATTATTATAGATAAATATTCCATACCTTCAAAATCCCATCACTTGACGAACAGGTGAACTCTGACTTTGGGTGTAATGTTACATAACAATATATTGTCAGGTAGACGTGCAAACCAAAAACAACCAGGTGACATTAAACATCCAGTGTATACATGTATTACCAGAGTTTAAATTTTGTGATATACAAAAGTTTTCATAACTGTACAAATAAATATCTTCTCTTCCCCGTGTCAAACCAGAAGAAGTATGTATCATAATAAACTTAAAGAAAATATGAATATTATAAAAAAAAATCTTTTTGCTTTAAAAGATAATCAAACTAATATTTATGTTTCTATAATTATTTTAAAGAAATATTTTGATTCAAATTTTAATTTAAATGGATTTTGTATTATTTCGTAAAAAATTAAACGAGATTTCATTGAATATGATTTTATTATTTATTTTTTTAATTCAATATTTTAAGCAAAATCCAGGCATTCAATAAATCGATATAAAGTTAAACTTGTGTAAAAAAATTTGTTATTGTATACATTTCAACAGAGACATATAATACAATTGCTCTGATTTCAACAACATTGTATACCCGACAATATTTATCGACAGAGTTATCGGTCCTGAATAGGACTGATATAGTTGGGTATGATTAACAGATATAGTAGCTATACGCAAAGCTATTTACCAGGCGAAATTTATCAAATCAAATGTTTACATTTTATCACTGTTTGTTATTCAAAAACACTGAACCAACTCATGACCAACAGGGCTAACTTATGACAAAATCACTGTACTAAACGCTCCCCGATATGACGACGTTACTACCAGTGCAAATTGGAAATCATAATTAGTCTTAATTTTCAGTGTAGAAAATGTCTAAGTCATTAAAAAAATGAAAATTAAATAGGAGATAGATTTTCTCCTTGACATACACCAATTTCACAACTGAGAAAATCATTAGCTTTGAGTTTCTGTCATAAACCTATCCGCTAAACCGTATCAAACGCTTTTTTAAAATCGACGAAGGTGCAATACAATTTCCACCATACACAAGTAAATTTGAATGTAATATCTCGAAATCCTAATACAACTTTTGGATTAAGAAAATATATCTTAAAATGAGAAAAAGTACTAAACTTTTTTTGATGAAAGGGACAATTTGAATTTTTAGTTTATGAATTGGGTGGTGGAATTAATAACGGAAAATGATAGATATTGTGTATCAATTCATGACACAAAATCTCTATACGGTCTTGACAAAACCCAACTTAAAAGAAAGAAAGGTACCTTTTTTGCTGCTCTTCGTCTCATGTTCATCTGATGCCGACTTTTGTGATTTTAAGAAAAACATAATGAACCCCTTTCAAGCATTTTAAATTTTCAAAATCAAGTAGTTTAGCTTTAAAATTTTTTGTTTGTTATAATTTGTTATCACATTAAATAAAGAGCTGCGCCATGAGCATAAAGAATAAAGTTCCATAACTCCTCAATGTCATATCAGAAATTTATAAAAAAAAATAAAGGGAGGTTATTTTAATAGATTTAAATTAGTCACCAAAGTTTCATGAAAACTGCTCAAAGCACTTTTGAGTTATTGTCCGAAAAACTGGAAAATCAACCTTTTTTTATGAATAAAATCAGATAACTCTGAAACGTAAAATCTAAAATTTATTAAATTTGAAAGGGAGCTTACGTCAATAGATATAAACAATTCACCAAAGTTTCATGAAAACTGCTCAAAGCATTTTTGAGTTATAGTCCGAAAACTGAAAAATCCCCCTTTTTTTAAATGAATAAAACCCCATATCTCGGAAACGTAAATTCTAAAATTAATAAAAATCGAAAGGGAGCTCACATCAATAGATATAAACAATTCACCAAAGTTTCTAGCAAATTTGTGCAAGTGTTTTTGAGTTATTGTCCGAAAACTGGAAAATCACCCTTTTTTAATGAATAAAACCCCATAACTCGGAAACTTTAAATCTAAAATTTATAAAAATCGAAAGGGAGCTCACGTCAATAGATATAAACAATTTACCAAAGTTTCATGCAAATTGGTTAAAGTGTTTTTGAGTTAATTGTCCGACATGTTGACGACGGACGGACGGACAGACGGACGGACAGACGGACGGACGGACGGACGGACGGACGGACAACGGTATACCATAATACGTCCCGTAAACGGGCGTATAAAAATGAATCAAACGACTTGCATTTACTTGAGATATTTAAATGCACGTTATGTTTGAGAAACGGTTTTATGAAGTTTAATGAGTTTTTATTTTTTATTATTTTGGCAGTAAGGTCTTCGTTAAATCGATTGTCAAGATTACCGTGGTGTGTTTTCGGAAGCTGCTATTTAGTGTACTGCCATTAAATGTGATCACAAGACGTCTGTCATCTAACAGTAAGTTATGGAAGGTAAGCACTTTTTATTGTAGTCCTAGTACTTATATTACCGTGCAATAGGTTTTTTCATTCAGGAACACATATATCGCACCAATGTAGCTTTTTAACTCAGCTGGTCCAAGGGCCTGTTTAAGATGTTGCCATCACTTGGCGTGCGTGGTCTGTCTATTAACTTTTTTTGTTCTCTTTCTTCTCTGAAAAAATCCAAACTTTAAAAATATTAATGTTGTCTCGGGTGTGTTTCGAAATTGCACTCTAAATGGCGGTCGTTACTAAAAGTAGATGGTAAAACAAGCAAAACGTTTTGAAATTAAAAAAAACCTATGATTGCGTCTGTATTTTTATACATACGAAGTGATGACTTTGACCAACTTAACATAAAACGAATCTGTTTCATCGTTTGTCACGACTTTATATAATGGGTGGTTACATATCTTATAATATTGTTCCTGTTGACCAATTTTGGATCTGATTACGGTTAATTAGCTGAAAAAATCATGAAAATATAATATGATAGATTTTATCTCAGTTTCAGCTAATCTAAAGAGTAAAACGAGTAGCGTTTACTCCAGGTCTGAGTTTAGTCATAGTGACTAAGTAAAACAAGTAGCGTATACTCCAGGTCTTGGTTTATTCATAGACTTGGTACGATGTACTTTCAAATGAGTATCACATCCCTCGTCGAAGCTTCACTTGTCTTTTCTTAGCCTATATACATGTATCATCAATCTCGTGTAATTTTTATGTGGACTTATCTTTAATTTATTTTCCTTTAAATTTCATTATTCAGTTATTTTAAATAATAGATTTAAGAGCTGTTGTTGAAAAAAGATTTACATAGAAACACCGCGTGTGCAGCCACGAATGGTTTCACTTATGATCGCACAATACTTCAACCATGGTCTTACGATTCTGGGTGATCGTGACAGTGTAAATAACAATATTAATTATAATGATAATAATATTGTTTTCATTATTCATTAGATTATCCTATTGAACTTCCGATTAAAATCAACATCCTTTGATATTTGCGCATAACTCTGTATACACCAGAAGTTTTTTTTAAGTCAGGGAAATCCTTTTATAATATCATAATACTATACATGGCAATGTGTTTATCTATTTATTGAAATTTCATTGGTTAAAAACTCACACACCCTCTCTTCCACGTGGTTCAATACCAAATATAAAATGCAGAACATAATTCTGTCTGCGCAACTTTTACAAAATATTTTATGGACTTTTACAGACAAAATTAAAATCAAATATGCCTACAGATGATAAAGTTGCCAAAATAGGACTATTTGGTGTACCTTTTAGCAAAGGACAGGTGAGAGATTATTTTTAAGAAACTGAAAAATTGTGTATCTAGAAAATCAAACAGCATTTAACAAACATCTAATTTATACTTTTTTGGAGTTGAAAATTATATAAATTCTGATCAATAGATAATATACCTATAAATTCTCCTAATTGTTTTATTTGATATTTTTTTAAATACTTTTCTTTTCGAAAGCAGAGAAGTTGTTCCTATTCATAAATAACTAAGTTACCATTTCATATGAAATTATTATTCTGATATTTTTATTCATTTAATTTCAAATTATTATTCTGGAATAAGTGTGGGTGTTTGTCATATTTTTGTTACTGATTATCGAAAAATATGGCTAATTGAAAAATGCATAACACCTTTTTCAATCTAGCACTAATTATAGGTAAACGCCAAACAGCAATTAACAGCTAACCAAGTCACATTAAAGATTTAATTTGTCACTGTTGATATCGTGTCGCAAACGCTTGACATATTTTTAAAACTTTAGATATCATCCCCAAGGTAGATTGAGGTTTAACATTAAAAGCGATACATTTTTACTACTATGCCAAAATTTAGTTTATATCATGCTCTTTTCTTTAATATAAAACATGGGTCATGGAGCTGTTTTTAAGCTACATGATGTGTTAGAATGTCAGATTTTGTAAAGATTATACATGGAAAAATTCACCTGTGTGTGACAAGAAAAAAACCCAATAGAACTAAAAACAAAATATGAGAAGATAGCTCCTATATGTGCTTTCAGGAAAAAAAATGAAACTGGGTTAGTCTACTAGTTTTCTTGCTTCAAAACAAAAAAAAGATAAATTTACTTTGCATACCTTTATGATATTAAACTATCTGAGTTATCACCCCTCCTATGGCTAAGAAAATAAACAATAGAAGATAGAACAAAAGAAAAATTATTCTGTATTTGTAATAACAGTCATAATAATAAGATAAATCACATATTGTGTTTCATTTCAGTGAAAAGTCTTACAAATGAATAACTTTCCTGTCTCAAATTTTGCATGTTTCATTAAAGACCTAACCCGACCATTTTTGCTATTTTACAATGCAAGATGGTGGGAGGCCCCGTACTACCTTAACCGTTTGATTTAGAGCAGTAAGTTATTGTGTAGGTCGTTAAACAACAAGAACTCACTAAGTTCTACATTGAAAGGACATTTATCAAAACAGTATCAAATTAGAATTTATTGGAATTACAACGTACACATGTGTTATCACTTAAACATTAACAGGAATCATCCAAAATACTGGACAGTACAACAGACAACATCAACCACCAATACCAGACATGTTTAATCCATTTGCTTAAGCTTCCATACGTGTATTTTTACCTGCGTCGCAAACGACATGGGCAGGTCTAGTAACAACTCGACTCCTTTCGCCCGTCCGTCCGTAAAATTTTTCGTCGAAGTTTTCTTGGCTCTATTACTCTATGACAGATAATGATTTAATATTTGGTCTGCAGCTTAGAGATGTTCAGTTGTAGCGCGTGCGCAATTTTTAGATCTTCTGTGGAGCTACTTCCTGTTTGCCGATATTTTGAAATTTTACATTCATTGTACAAGGAAAATTTTCGTCCCTTAACATTAAATCACTGAAAGTACTTTATTCATTTCCAATTGAACAGAGATTCTGGAAAATAATCTTCGTCAGTTATGCTTCAGTACACATGTTACCTCAGTCAATTACATGCAACTACGCAGGTCCAGACCCCGTATTGGTCTTAATTGTTTCTTTGTGTGTTTAAATAGTGTAAATGTAGTAATTGTCAGCACTTCACAGACAGCTCTTTATTCCTTGTTCTCAGTACGTTTCAATAATGGTGATATTTAATACTTTAAAAGATAACTGTAAGATGATAGGTAATACATATTCAGAAAACCTGAGAAACTTTTTGTCTACATCTGAATCCCCCCCCCCCCCCTTTTTCACAGGGGTGCGAACATTTTTTATGTAAATGTTAAAAAGGTAAGAAATAAGTCGCGGATTTGAGTATTTGAGGTGGAATAAATGTTTTACAAGTCCAAATTGAAAAGTAAATTTAAAGTAAATTATAAAACTATGTATATCTATATATTCCATATACAATACAAAGTGATAATGCCTGGAAGGCTTATTCAGTCACCACTCTTCTTACTTTCAAAGAAACACCTCTTTTCACGGAATGAAATTATAGTATATAAATATATCTGTTTTTCACAAATAAGTTATTTAAAATATTAATATTTGAATGTCAGTAACCTGTTTTTTTCAATAATCCTTGTTTTGTTGTGTCCGGAGGAAATCTTGTTTGGTGTAACAACAAATGTGACTAATTTGTTCTGGTGTTGTCATAATTGAGAGACAAGTTAACATCATACTTTTTTTATCATATCATTATAAATAAACTTTTATTAAGTTGAAAGCTTAAAACGTATCCTTTATTTTTTAATCATGTGCCCGATAATGCAATATAAAACAAATTGTTTAGATAATGGCATTCAAGGATAAAGATTAGTCAAGTTGGAGAAGTGAGAACTTACTACAAAAACTATGGCTTTAACAATTAGTTAAAAATGCTGTAGCTCTTTCCAGAAGGAAACCCCAAAGTATAGCCATAGATATAAAGGCCATAAACAAATAGTTCAGTTGAAATTTGATCAAGAGATGTTAAAGTCAATAGATTCCCCCCGAAATATGACCTTAAAGTGATTGAACAATTTGAATAGTTTCACAATTAGAAAAAAAAAATACACATTTTTTTCTGGAAAAATTTCAGATACCATGCTCCGATTATACAAAATACTGTAAATGTAATATATTATCAAAACATTTATCTAGAAGTGTTATTATAAAGAATTAATGGTTTGATCTTCAAACTGTTTATCTATTTTAATACTCTTTATTCTTCCAACAAAGAATAAAAAAGAGAAGAATTTATTTATTTATTAAACATTTCTCACTGCGGATAATTTGTAGTTGTTGAAAGGATTCTTTTTTTTACTTTTCGAACCTTAACTTTCAAAATTGAGGTTCCCACATTCAAAATGGAATTCTCCAATTACTATTGTCGCTCATTCAGGGGCGTAGCGTGGTTTATATAATGTGCACGTCTAAATAAAGAACGAGGTATGGGGGTTGCCCCCACCCCCACCAGAATTTGTTTTTTCACCAGACACAAAATGGTGCATTCTGGAGGTATTTCAGACATAAATAGAAGACATCATATTCGGACAAACTAACCACATAGACCACACATACCACATCTTCCTTTACTAGATACATGTATCTGATCCATGTATATCGTTAAAGCCATTTTTTAGACAGACGGCGTCGACGGTTACCAATTTCGGATGTCTTAATTAGTTCCCGCTGTCACTATTATACATTTCAAAATTAACAAATACTAGTATTTAAAATGATTTATTTATCTTTTATATAAAAGAAAACCCTTTTTTGTCCCGAAAGTAAAAAAAAACAAAGGTTTTAGCAACAAATTCTTACATCGGTGCAAAATTTCAAAAAGTTCTGGTTTTAGATCACTTGCTGAAAAAAATGCGACATAAATGAACTACGGACGGATGAAAGAAAACTAGTATTTCTATCTTTCGAAGCTGGTTAATAACAAAACCAACTAAACAAGTTAATCTGTAAATTATTACTCACATATGATACCCCTTCTATAAAAAACAGGAAGTTGATTAGCAACGCATGTGAAAACGCATAATACAGGATGATGATACCAAAATTAGTTTGTTCTAATCTTTAGTTACTGAGAAAAACGTGATATAAATTTCATATACATGATTATTATCTGTAAAGATAATTATAAGTACATGTATTCAGTAAACAGGAAGCTGATGAGCAATGAATGTGAAAATGCATCACACTGTATGTCGTGCCCATAAGAAGCTTGCTACAAAAGTTTGAGTTCCATAGATAAACAACACTTTTATTTGACGGACGAACGGACGGAGAGACAGGAGGAAACCAGTATACCCCTCCTTTCGGAGTGGGGATATAAAAAGAACTCAGTAACAAATGTTCTTCAAAATAGTCGATCACACGAATGAATTCACCGGAAAATGGGATTTATTTGAAAAACAGAAACAGGCCTCAGTAGTCTCAGACAAAGGAAACTTATTTTTCACGTAAGGCCAAGAGAGATGATGCAATAACTATCGTATATACACATGATATAGTATGCCAAATAGATGAAAACAGTCCACTGACGGAAACGCTAAGCGACCACAATAAACGCAATACGTTTCACAAGTTAATGAACAATATATATTTTAATGAATTATAGCAGTAGACTAGTCTAATACAGTAACAATAAGATAAAATATCAATAATGTATCTTTTTTTTTCATCTTTTTTTTTAAATTTCTGTGATCAGATGAAGTGCACGCCCCTGTCATTCATGGTTTAATGAGAGCTAATTTTACAATGATTGTAGAGTGAGACTTTGGTTGGCTTGCTTGCTTGCTTTGTTTGTTTAAACTTTTGCTCAAGCATTGTAATTAAAGATTGACATCTGCAAACAATATAGAAAGGCGGAGTTAAACCTGTATACATTATACTTTTAAAATTTGATTGGATGTTATTCTGGAGGTTTGGAACACCCACTTGTGCATGTAAACATTGAGCTTTGGCAGGGTTGTTCTGAATTCCAGGGGTGCACTTCATTTGAACAGACATATGCTTTGAACGATGAATATTTCGTGCTCCTTTTTGTTATTAGTTTTTTCTCATAAATTATGGATATGAAGTTTTGAACAACACTGTTTCAATCCGATTGAATAATCATTTGTGATCTGAATTATCCAGTCGTAATATGCCGTTCTATCATTGAAAGTTCGGAGGGTGTTGAATAAGTCGAGTGAAAACGTATAACAAAAATACAGAAGGTATATATGTATAAAGTCTAGAGATTTGCGCAACGGTACTAATATAAGATGGTAATATACGAAGACGATGTTATAAAATCGTGTTGACAAATATGTTGGCTGAACAAATAGCCTTCGTCAGTGTCAATAATTTTTACAATACTGGTATCGAGGGCTAATATTTACCGAGGGCTGATAATACATCTGATATGAAAAATGCTATGTAATAATCTGATAATATCGGGAAATGTCATACAATATATTTTTACACCAATAAATGTGCCGTTCCTCTACTTTCGTTTTTTTTCTAGAGCTTGTAGGAAATTCGTATCATGAATTAATGTACCATGAAATTTCTTTTCCATTATATTCTACCTGCACGACCAAGAACCCGGAATTTTATGCCCCCGCCGTTGCCTAACTTTAGTTTGCCTCAACCAAATGTTATTAAACTTATACACAATGCTAATTACCACAAAACACAGATCAAATTTGAATTTTGATGGCGTCACTTTTACCGTTCTAGAGTTATGCCCTTTATAAATCGAAAAATCGCTGAATTTTTCGTTTCCGTTCTGTAACTTAAGTTTGCCACAACAAAATGTTATGAATCTTATACACAATGCCTATTACTACAAAACACACATCGAATTTGAATTTTGGTGGTGTCACTTTTATAGTTCTAGATTTATGCCCCTTTACAAATGGAAAAATTGCTGAATTTTTCGTTTCCGTTCTCTTTCTTAAGTTTGCCTCAACCAAATGGTATGAAACTTATACACAATGCTTATTACCACAAAACTCTGATCAAGTACAAATTTGGGTAGCGTCACTACTACGGTTTTTGAGTTATGTCCCTTTATAATGTTATATGCAAGCGGGGGCATCACCTGTGTCCCATGGACACATTCCCCATTTATTTTGTTTTTTTCTGAAATCTGTGTTAATAACTTCTGACCGTTACAATACGCCATTGTTTTTCGATAACTCTCAAAACTATCTACCACTTTTCCTGTTCGACACCCATGTCTAGAATTAAATATGTATGAAGATGCTTAGCAATCAGCGATCAATATTTCAATATGTCATACTTTTTGTTGCTGATTTAAAAAAATCATCCCCATTTTAGTAAATGATAGAACTATCATAGTCTGTTATCAATGTGTATCTTGTACATTAGGTGATTTCTTTTAAATACAAGTATTTGTTTCAGCAACGAGATGGAACAGAAAAGGGACCTGGAGCACTTCGAAAAGGGGGTCTTCTGAAAACTTTGACTTCAATCGGTCATGATGTCCTTGATTATGGAGATCTGCCGTTAGACTTCAGTGATGATAAAGAAGGACAAACAGGGGTAGCAAAAAATCCAAAAACTGTTGGACATGCATCGAAGATGGTAATTTTTAATTATAATATAAAGCTACATATAAAATGAATATTAAAGATCTTAATTGTTACATTTTTTGTGCATACTTTTCGCCTTCTTTTGTCTTCGTTAACTCATTGGTATCAATTATTTTTGTTTTGTTTTATTGCGAATTAAACACTTTGTTTCATATACATGAATATTGTAACTATAATGTAGATAAATTTTGTATTTTCTAAGCATGTATTCTGAAAAATCTTGCAGATTGCAGACAAAGTTAGCGAAGTTGTTAAATCTGGCCGAACGTGTTTGGCATTGGGTGGAGATCATAGTATGGCTATAGGTACTATATATGGACAGCACCAGGTTCAGCCTGACCAAGTCGTTTTGTGGATTGATGCGCATGCTGATATAAATACACCTTTGACATCAGGAAGTGGAAATATGCATGGAATGCCTTTGTCCTTTCTTGTTAAGGAATTAGATCCGTATTTACCTAAGATTCCAGGGTTTGAATTTGTCAAACCATGGTAAGTAATACCCGAATCAACACTTTGGTAACGGACGTCATATTACATTATTGATGGTATCCGTGTCGTCTTACTTTCTGCATGTTTTGTATATAGTATATCTGGATAAGGTTGTCTTGCTTTGACTTTGATGGACTGCACGATGTTATTGAAATATTCTGTTTATTTGGGGTCTTTGTTTTAGTGGTTATGTTACATTAAAATTTCTTTTTGTTTCGTTGGTTTTCAGAAGAGATGAGGGATCTCGACAGGACAGTATCCACTTGTACATTGGAAACTTATTACGTTATACCTCAACGTATCCGTCTTTAGATTATATACTATAAGAACAAAACAATAAAAAGCAACAAAGATGTGTGTAGTGTGTTTTTGCATTTCGTGAATATAAACATACATATTATTATCGAAAGTTTTTATCCAATCAATTTACTGGGCTAATATGATTTCGTTCAACGTCAGAGGCGGAATTTGTGGGGGTGAGGGCTTTATGGAGCTACATTCATGGTTGATGCATACACTTTTTACAAGTCTCACTCATAACGTTGCCTTGCTGCCCCTTTCAAAATTGTTGTATAATTTATTTCTGTTTTAATTCTATTAACTAGTTTCATTTTAAGCAAACTGCTAGAAAGTAGTAGAACAGAATCTTAGGTAGTTCTAATGTGTAATTTCGTTTGTGCTTTCATTTTTCCTTATTCTATTATCAGTCTGACAGCAAAAGATATAGCATACATAGGACTCCGTGATGTAGATCCTGGAGAAAGGTTTGTATGTTTATTATTTTCAACTCTTACAATGCTTGTTATACGCTGTTAGCGTTAACTAAGATTTAATCATATCATATCATTTATGTTCTGAATTCACCCCCACCCCCCTCCCCCCCAAAAAAAAAACAAGACAAAAAACAAGACAAAAAACAAAACAAAGACAAAAAAACTTTGAACTTAAAAAATTTCCAGAACTTTCAGGATAGCTCTTTGAACGTGGTAAATAAGATATGTTTTAATAAGTTTGAAGAAAACCTATAAAGCCTTCCTATTGCATTTCTACAGATCCAAATTTTTGATTTTTTTTAAATATTTTGTCACTTTTATTCAAAGACAAAGTCTCATACATCAGTATAAGTGTTACTTTACTTTTCATTTTTTATTTATGACAGTTCAATAAAGTTGCAGAATATATTAAATGAATTAACAAAAATACAATTTTGTGTGTAGATATATCATTGAAAAACTTGGAATCACAGCATTCTCTATGCAAGAGGTAGACAAATATGGTATTAACGAAGTTATGACACGTGCATTAAAGGCCATAGATCCAGAGTAAGTACATTCAATATATACGTTTTAGTTATAAAAATAGATTAACAAAGACTTTTCCACACCACATTCTAAATAATCTTTGCAAAAGTAACTGAATTTAATTTCATCATTTGCTGTTTTTATTTAATCGAGTTTCTCATTGTATGCGTTTTACACTACGATGTGGATTTATGCACATTGTTGAAGGTCTATGGTGACATGTAGAAATCAGTTATTTGCAATGTTATTATTGTCAAGTTGCTTTGTATCTAATTTTTATAACTGACAAAATGGCTTTAACACATACAAAATGTTAAGGAAAATCAAAAGTTAAAAAAACAGACAGTTTTTCTTTGAAAATTATCAAGTCAAATAAGACGTGTAAATATTGACATTCTGATCTTGTGGACTTTCATTGGAAATAATACCACAGCTTCTTTCCGTTTACAATAGATATTTATATTAATACCATTTTGCATAAAATGTATCCTTGTATATATATGTAAGTGATTTCAAAATTAGTTATTTTTCTGATGTTTTACAAATTTTTGTTTTTGATAATTGATGATAAACATGTATGAATCTGATTATAAATTTAAGCCTGCAATGCAATGATTTATAAGCTATTATTATAGCATTAGCATATTAGCCATGTACAAATCATCTTCCATAGCTATATTTTTCAATTAAGTATGCACATCTCTACATATTAAACCTCTAACAAATTTTAATATCTGCGTCTCTCTTTTTTCCAGAGGAAAACGTCCAATACATTTAAGTTTTGATGTTGATTCATTGGATCCATCTCTTGCACCTAGCACAGGAACACCAGTATTAGGTGGGCTGTCACTCAGAGAAGGTTTATATATTGCAGAGGAAGTAGCAGATACAGGTAATTAGAAAGGAGTAGGTCCGGTAAGGGCCGATTTTGGCCTTAAACTTAAGGTTCATCTGATGAAAGATTTTAGACACTTTTTAAACACTTAAGTGTCTACTTTAGTAAATTCGATTAGATTGAGTGAAAGATTTGAACTGGTTTAGTCAATTAAGACGCTCAAATTCAAGCTAAAATATTAAAAATCTATCAAATATGCCATAATATGTCACTTTTCAGATGGTTTTTGTCTAAAATGAAAGTGGCCGCATCCGTGTTCACCCTCAACCTTTATATATGTTATGTATTATCATCAAATACAACTAACATGTAAATATTAAGAATGAACACAAATGCGGCCACTTCCATTTAAGACGGAAACCGTCTAAAAATTAACTCAAATGCTAAAATTGTGAAGATTTTAGTAATTTAGCATGACTTAATGATGCTAGTATCCGATACATGTGCATTGTATTGTAAAAAACAGCCCATATTTATGTAACAGAAGTATTCTACTTTCCAATAAATAGCTAAAAGTTTACATTTTAACAATTTTGTAAAACTGCTATATTTTCGGGCCAAAAAGGGGTCTTACTGGACCTACTCCTTTGGTGTATTACACATTACAGAAATGAGAGGGAAAAAAATCGAATATGTAGATAGTCATGTAGGAATAAACATACACCATCAGAAATGAGTGAGAATAAAGATTCTATCATTCCATGGAGCATTTCCATCATCCTTCTATCATATTGTAAAAAATCGCCCATCAGACAACACAAGTCTGTGTCCACACTTGTATCATACCATCAAGATTATATATTTTCACATAATTGCTTAACAGTCTCAAAGAGAATATACTTTATTTGATAGATGATAGAATAGTAACTAAGAAAATCCTTATTTTCCTGGGTATGTTAACGTTGAGAGTGTTCTCCAAATTTAAACTTCCAAAGGTCGGTTGTTCTCTCCAGGCACTCCGGCTTCCTCCACCGATAAAAACTGACCGCCACGAAATAGCACAATAGTGTTGAAAGTGGCGTTAAAAACCAATCAATCAAATCAAACCAAATTTAAACTCAATGAAAAAACAAGTGCAATGGATCTACTTTGTTATTAAATGTTATATGTGTTTTTACTGATTTTTTTTGGTGGAGGATTTCAATGCCTAATACAGGTCAACTTTCAGTGGCCACTTCAGTGGCATTATTATCTATGTTACTGAAAATTGTATTATCACTTTACATTCACAGGTCGTTTATCGGTAATTGACGTTGCGGAAGTGAATCCTAGCCTTGGTTCAGAACAAGATGTCGAAACGACAGTGAGAAACACTATTGAATTCATTACTAAATGTTTTGGCAATAGACGACAAGGCGCCTATCCTCCAGGCTACCATATTCCTCTACCAACATAAACGTTTGTCTACCAACTGTCTCTTGTACATATCATGCTAAAAAAGGAGTTAAATATCGTGTTGTAAAAGGACTGATTAATTTGGAAATATGTGAGAATAGGGGATTTCCATTTTTATGTCTCACAAAAGTGTTCATTAAGTCAATATTTTTGATACTCTTATTCATTGAACTGTTAATTTTGTGATATATATATATAAATATACATGAATTTGCGTGATTATATGTATATTTGTTTTTTTTTTATTAATTTAATTAGAACTAATGTTTTAAATAATATTTTGTTCCATTTTGTAACATTTCATACACATTAAATGGTAAGAAATTTTCCATCATATTTTGAGTTTTACATTGTTATTTGATTGATATTTACATTATGTATACTTTTTATATAATCAGGATTTTTTATTGCCTAACTATATACCACGTAGTTTTATCACAAACTTTCATATCTTATGAAACCCTATTACCATTTTAAAGCATGTGCTGCCAAATATGGTTCATTGGTACATCTATCAAAATAAAATAATGCTATTGATTATTTATCGTAGTTCTTCTTATTAGATGCTCAATTTTTGTTTTCATTGAATTACTGTTATATAGTCAACTGATAAGAAAGTAGGTGATGAAGGACCTTTTTTTTTTTAGAAAAAAACTCTGCCACACTTTAAGCAAAATGTACTTCATCGATCACTTGCAAGTACTTACAAAATATGTATTGAATTCTTAATTATCTAACAAGCGATTTGTATCTGTTGATGCCATGTGAAAGAACAGATATTGAAGCTCGCATACCGTTATCTAACACCAAAAATAATTTTTGTTCTAATAATTAACTCTTATCACCAGAGACATGTGGAAATGCGTTAATGAAACGGCATCCGAAAATTATAAGTTCACCGTAATGGACAACTAGAGGTTACTTACACGACCCTTCAACAATGCACAAATGTCCGTACAGTAGGGCAAACTCTGAGTATTCCCGATTCTATGTAGATGTAAATTGTGAATACATTTAACAGATACGTCCTCTTTTCTATTATTTACAGAAAATACGCAATAGATAAAAACAAATCAAAAAGAAACAGTGACAATAGCTGGCGAGGCAAATGACTTGGTATATGTTTAAAAATAAATGAACCCAAACACCCTTTAATATCTCAACCGGCCTGAAAGGCAATGTGAGCTATTACCAATACTTAGCGTCCTTCGTCATCGAAATTTCAAATTTTCATCTTCTGTTCTGGAATAATGGATAGCCATTTCTCACCAAACTTGGTAGGAATGGTGTATGGAAAGTTCTCTACAACCAATTTAAATAAGTTCCCATTGGACGAAAGATATGGCCAAATTTTAAAAAAAAACTCAAGCTACACGGCGAAAAGCTTTGAAACTTTACAAGATTGGAGATTTCGAGACCGTCTACAAACAATCCTCATTTAATGTTGATTGGGGGGAGCAACTTCGATTGGATACTAAAACATGACCGCCAGAGGCAATCTTTGATTCTGATTAGCCAATTCAAAAATCGTCTTTGAAGCTACTTGGCGAAATGTTTTGAAACTTTACATGATGATGATTGGGAGACCCTCTACAAACTATCCCCATTTAATGTTGATTGGATGGCGACAATGGCGGCATTAGTGGCACATGTTTCTCCTTGAAACTCTATATAAAATCATATGTTCATTCTTTTCTTTGAAACCACTATGCCTATGTAAAATAACCTTGACAGGAATGATGTTTGACAGGTCCTCTACAAATGATCCTAGTTTGGTTCCAATGGAATGAAAAATAAAACTGGCAAGGGCAATCTTTGATTTTGATTAGCCAATTTTAAAAATTTCTCAGAAACAACCAGGTTAAACGCTTCGAAATTTTATTTTATTTAATTCATGTCTGGAAACTACAAACTAAGCTCACATACTAATAATGTTGATTGGGTGGTAAAAATGATGGCGGCATCTTGGCACATACAAGTAGTTCCAAATAAAACTTAAGTAAAGACATATTTTCATTTATTCATAGACTCCTAGGCAATGTGAAATTAACTTAGTAGAAATGATGTGTGGAATGCTTTCTACAAAGATTTTCATTTTGGTTCCGATAGGCCGAAGAACATGTTCACTAGACATTCTCTAATTCTGATTTTCCAATTTTCAAAAAGCTGCATGGCGAAATGTTTTGAAATTTTACAGGATTGATAATGCGGAAATCCTCTCTTCAAACGTCCCCATTGAATGTTGATTGGGTTAAGAACACGACGGTTTTGGATATGCATTATTCTTATTCAAACTCTATGGGAAAATCGCTTTTCCACTTTTGTAGATAAACTTGGCTTGAATGATGTGTTGAAGGTGCTCTACAAAAGATCCTCATATTGTCCCGTTTAAAAGAATAAACATGACTACCAGAAGCAATCTTTGATCTCTGATAAAAAAAAGTCTTCTCTGAACCTTTAAGGGGATATATTTTTAGGATTTAATCATCATTACCAATTGGTAGACCATTTACAGAATTGTATGTTGATCGATTGGCAGACAAGGCGGCGTTGATTGTAAATAGTTCCCATTGAAAAGCAATTCTCACATTTTCATTTTCTTCCACGGGAAACAAATGGTCCAATGTGAAATAAACTTGGCATGCATGATGTTTAGAAGGACCCCTATATACTATTCTCACTTGATTCTGATCAGACGAAAACATGAAAGCCAGAGTTAATCATTGATTCTGATCGTTAAAAAAACAAACCCAAAACAATCTTCTCTGAAACTGCAGATACCGTCGATACTTTACAGGGTTTATGGTTAAGATACACTCTACATATGATCCTCATTTCATGTTAATCGGTCAAGCATAAAAGCTTTATTGTACTCTATGGACACTTCTTGTTTTTGTAACTACCAGACCAATTTTAATCATGGCAGACTTATTTAGAATATGTATGGAAGTTTCTCTACAAAGAAATTCCATTTCGTTCCGATTAGATGAAAAGCTTGTCCGACAAAGGCATTCTTAAAATTCTGATCTTATTTTGATGAAAATCGTTGTGTACTACACTTTACTCTATCTAATATTGTTTTGGTCAAAAACAACAAAATCGTAGAAAATTTTCACTTAAGAGCAATAACTCGTATAATGAGTCGACGGACTGATTATGATCATGTTGACATATTTGTAGACCTTAAATAGCTGATTGACTTTGATGTTTAAACTTTAAATTTCTCTGTGTGTTTTATAATTTTTCAACACCTGTTTTTGTTGATTGTTTTAGCTGTGTACAGTTTCTGTAATAGTTATACACCGAGGGATAGGTGTGTCTGGATAAGAAACCCCGACGGCCGGAGGCCGTAGGTGTTTCTTATCCAGACACGCCGTATCCCGAGGTTTATAACTAACTTACACCCGGTGCTAAACCCTATATTTGTTAACATTGATTATTAAATGAAAAAGAACGGATAGCATATTTTTTGACAATATTAAACCATGATTTATAAGAATTTTTGTTTTGTTTTACATGAAACCCCACTAGTAACCTTACTTTGGCTATCATCGTTCAAACTGACAAGTGAATAGATTTTACAAATGTCAAAGTTGCTGTTTTGCATATTCCCGTTGTGCTAATATGGATCAGCAGGTCAAAGTTGACCGTTTTGTGCTTCTTATTACAAAAAAAAATACATCATACTCCTTGTATGCAGTTGTCAATATAAGACGGACGACATTTTGAGACAAGCGTTGGATTTGGTAGAAGAGACTAAAGATAAAGGCAATACTAGTATTATAACCCAAAGTACTTATCTGTATCAGTTTAATGAAGGTAATCATAACATTTTATATGTAACGGTTTGGAATATATAGGAACTCTCTTTATGGGGGCAATCAAGGGGGTGGGGGTCCGTGAGTTAGAATCCCCGTTTTCCCGTTTTTTTCAAGAGACATATGACTGGGATAAAAAATTCTACCTTCAAGCAAAGGAGTATTTAAAGGATTTTTTTTAATTCAAAATATTTTAATTTTAATATAAAAATTATTCACACCCTGTGGTCAAAATCCATTGTTATTCGTAACAATAGATGTATTCAATTTACACTTGTTTCAGAAATATATAGAAACGGTGAAGTATAAAAATAGAACTGGGGTGTAATTTTTTATCGACCATACGTTTTGTCAAAACACAAAGGATACACTCATCGGTGAGTGACGATTCATAAGAAATTTGACTTTCTTGTAGATCAGTCTGGCGATTCATTTCTGTTGTATAAAGTTTATCTCGATTTATTGCAGTTTCAATATTACTTATGATTAGACTAAAACACGAGTAGCAGTCGTTACTTAGTGTAAACATATTTTATTAGAGAATTGGATATGTATATAGCTACAAGAGTGAATAAATACGAAATATACAAGTAATTCGTTATTTGGGATTAGGAAACAAGTTTAAATCCGTCTCCTTAGTCGTCATTTAAGGATATAACGCCAATATGGAGTCAATAGACAATTTTGGCCATGTTGATTAATTAGTCTTATTGGTATTTGTATGCACCCGCTACGCCGCCGTAGCGGAGGGGGCATTAAGTTTTACCCTTGTCCGTCCGTACGTCCCAAAATTGGTTTCCGTTCTCTAACTTTAGTTTGCCTCAACCAAATGTTATGAAACTTATACAAAATGCTTATTACTACAAAACACAGATCAAGTTTGAATTTTGCTGGCGTCACTTTAACCGTTCTAGAGTTATGTCCCTTTTACAAATGGAAAAATTGCTGAATTTTTCGTTTCCGTTCTCTAACTTTAGTTTGCCACAACCAAATGTTATGAAACTTATACAAAATGCTTATTACAACAAAATACAGATCAAGTTTGAATTTTGCTGGCGTCACTTTAACCGTTCTAGAGTTATGTCCCTTTTACAAATGGAAAAATTGCTGAATTTTTCGTTTCCGTTCTCTAACTTAAGTTAGCCTCAACCAAATGTTATGAAACTTATACACAATGCTTATTACCACAAAATGCAGATCAAGTTTGAATTTGGTGGTGTCATTTTTACTGTTCTGGAGTGATGCCCCTTTACAAATGGAAAAATTGCTGAATTTTTCGTTTCTGTTCTCTTACTTAAGTTTGCCTCAACCAAATGTTATGAAACTTTTACAAAATACTTATCACCACAAAACACAGATAAAGTACAAATTTGGGTAGCGTCACTTTTACCGTTCTTCAGTTATGTCCCTTTATAACTTTAAATGATATGCAAGCGGGGGCATCATCTGTGTCCCATTGACACATTCCACATTTATTTGCTATTAAATTTTCCATCTATCCATAATAGTTTTCAATGCAAATAACTTAGATTTGCTTTATTACTTTCTATTCATATATCGAAGTTTCAAGATTAACAAAAAAAGTAAAACTCAAGGCCCCAAGGAAGCTGTATGTTACACCTGGAATGTTTGTGTAAAATTATAACAACAACATTAGAATAACATTTCAAGCAAAAACGCAAAATTATTATTCAGCAGTGTCCTTTATTTTATGTTATCGTATATTTATATCCCTTCAAATGTTCTTTATCTATATATCACGAGAATAATAAGTTTTGGTTTTAATTTGTCACTAACTACAGAGGACAAGACTTTTGCAAAAGTTTATATACGACGACAGCAAGAGATGAGAACAGCTCAATTTGCCATGTCGTCCAGGCCAGCAAAATAAAAATGGGAACAAAACGTCTTTAAAGTCATTTTAACTGTTTTGTAACTTTCTATCTAAATAAATTTTGAAGTAAAATAACTGCGAAATCTTCTAAAAGCTGACAATTGATGTTGTCCAGCTTTGTCTTAAAATTTTAAGATAGATCCACACCTACTCACCATATTATTCCTGGTCTGTTCTAAATGCTTTAGTTTTTGTACATTAAGACAAGAACTATCGTTTAAATGTCAGTGTTCTATTTTATTTGACCAGCCAAAATTTTTATCAGGTAGTAACAGAATAAGGGCCATTTACAAAATATATGCGATGCATTATTACTGTTAAGTTTAATAACATTTGATTATGCAGTTTCAAAGGGACATATTTTAGACGGACAATGTACAAAATGATGACAATGACAAACGCCAAGTGTTTGTATAACCTCACGCAGCTGTTAAGAGCCAGGTGAGTTAAAAGGAAAGACCTTTGAATCATGATCAAATGTTGTTCATTTTGTAACATGTTTCGGTAACACAAAAGTTGATGGTTGCTAGACATTTTCCCCGATATGAGAATGGCTACTATATACTTTTGTGACGATATTGACCTTTTACCCCCTCGTAGTTAACCTATATATATGCCTAGGAAAGCAGCCCTATAGTATTTCAAATAATTCAAAGTTTTATGAACACTTTCTAAATAAACTCAAAAAATATCTATGATGTTTCAAGTCAGAACAGGAGACAACATGGCTGGTGATTAACTGAAAAACACATGAGTAAAATCATGTCAGTGAATTATTTCCGTCAAGAAACATATGTTGGTTATTAAAAGGAATTCGAAATTCTAATTGGAAGACAAATTAGTTTGAAAATTTTGGAATTTTGTATCAAGGGACCAAAACATTGATGGTGTTACTAGGTATTTCCCAACTATATGAGAATGGCTGCTAAAGTCTATAATAACAATATTGACCCCTTATCTTTCAACATGGATCTATATAATAGTTCATATCAATCTGAACCCAAATATGTATGGTTGCTAGGTTCTTTTATATCAAGTAAGGGCCGTTGCGAAGAACTTTTGACATGACCTTAGCCTCTGGCATATTACTTTATTACCAAATAAAAGCAATAATCGTTCTGAACATTTTTTCTATTTACTGTATGTGTCTCTTTGTTACCATGTTTGACAAAATCTAATAAAAAGACTCAAGGTCAAAGGTCAAGGTCATCAATAACATTTGACTTTTGAATCAAACTAAAGGTCATTGAATGCGCAACATTTTTCAATTGATGTCCAGCCTTTATCTTTCACTGTGGATGAGATATTTTAATAACAAGGTCAAATTTCTTTTACAAAATAACAAAAATGACACTTTAAGGTTCCAATAGCAACCATCCTAGCAACCTGAATCCCAAACCTTAAGTTATAAATTATTACTTGGCAACAGTAATAGTTTACATTGATAATCTCAATATAAATGGATATGGATGCAAAAGTGTGTAATTAGTTCATGCAAAATGCCTATAATTTGCCTTCTTGAATGCAATGAAAACTCCCTTATGTACATGTCAATCAATGTTGCCACCTTCTCCTCTTTTTAGTAGAATTAATTATTATATTTTATCTTACTCATAAAATGTTATATTTTAATGAAAAAATATCAAAATATTCATCAAAATTGAAATGTGTGCATGATAACTGCTTGAAATTGGTAATTTTTCTATGTCAAAATATGCACTTATGAGACAAAATCCATGAGTACCCGTTATTATGGTAACGGGAACATAAAAACAAAATTCTGTGAACATATTTCTTGTATGTTTGTCGATAGCTACTAACAAACGAAATTTCAAGAAAATCTGAGACTATGCGTGCTGCAACATGGTTGGTGTTTACAGAGAACTGCTATTGAATAGTAAATCAATATTAACACCCCCCCCCCCCTTCCATCCCCCCAAAAAAGTTATTAGACTTAATGATTTCACAACAGTATAAATGATGACCTTGGTCAATATGCTTATTAAGACAAAAATACAAGATTTGTAGGATGGTTTTTGTCGAGCCTGCGACTTTTGTCGCAGAAAGCTCGACATAGGGATAGTGATCCGGCGGCGGCGGCGGCGTTAGCTAACTTCTTAAAAGCTTTATATTTTAGAAGGTGGAAGGTCTGGATGCTTCATACTTTGTATATGGATGCCTCATGTTACGAAGTTTTCGTCAGTCACATGTCCAATGTCCTTGACCTCATTTTCATGGTTCAGTGACTACTTGAAAAAAAAGTTAAGATTTTTTTGTAATGTTACATTCTCTCTTATTATAAGTAATAGGATAAATATATTTGGTATGTGCGTACCTTGCAAGGTCCTTATGCCCGTCAGACAGTTTTCACTTGACCTCGACCTCATTTCATGGATCAGTGAACAAGGTTAAGTTTTGGTGGTCAAGTCCATATCTCAGATACTATAAGCAATAGGTCTAGTATATTCGGTGTATGGAAGGACTGTAAGGTGTACATGTCCAACTGGCAGGTGTCATCTGACCTTGACCTCATTTTCATGGTTCAGTGGTTATAGTTAAGTTTTTGTGTTTAGGTTTTTTTTCTTATACTGTATGCCATAGGTCTACTATATTTGGTGTATGGAATGATTGTAAGGTGTACATGTGTAGCGGGCAGGTGTCATCTGACCTTGACCTCATTTTCATGGTTCAGTGGTCAAAGTTAAGTTTTTTGAGTTTTGGTCTTTTTTTCTAATACTATATGCAATAGTTCAACTATATTTGGTATGTGCGTACCTTGCAAGGTCCTCATGCCCGTCAGACAGTTTTCACTTGACCTCGACGTCATTTCATGGATCAGTGAACAAGGTTAAGTTTTGGTGGTCAAGTCCATATCTCAGATACTATAAGCAATAGTTCTAGTATATTTGGTGTATGGAAGGACTGTAAGGTGTACATGTCCAACTGGCAGGTGTCATCTGACCTTGACCTCATTTTCATGGTTCAGTGGTTATAGTTAAGTTTTTGTGTTTTGGTTCTTTTTTTCTTATACTGTATGCCATAGGTCTACTATATTTGGTGTATGGAATGATTGTAAGGTGTACATGTCTAGCGGACAGGTGTCATCTGACCTTGACCTCATTTTCATGGTTCAGTGGTTAAAGTTAAGTTTTTTGAGTTTTGGTCTTTTTTTCTAATACTATATGCAATAGTTCAACTATATTTGGTGTATGGAAATATTTTATGATCTATTTGGCAGTCACGCAGGTTTTATTTGACCTTGACCTCATTTTCAAGGTTCATTGCTCAGTGTTAAGTTTTTGTGTTTTGGTCTGTTTTTCTTAAACTATAAGCAATAGGTCAACTATATTTGTTATATGGAAGAATTGTTAGCTGTACATGCCTGCCTAGCATGGTTCATTGGTCAATGTTTAGTTTACTAGGTTAATGTTAAGTTTATGTGACAGTTGTAATAAAGCTTTATATTTAGGACTATCAACATAATATCAATGATTAGTAAAGAAGGCGAGACATTTCAGCGTGTGCACTCTTGTTTAACTTGTTTGCTATAAATTATATGCATATATATATATATATATATATATATATATATATATATATATATATATATATATATATATACTATAACCGAAAAGCCTGGTGTTAAAACACACCGAATTTTATCAACTTTCAAAATGAATCGTAATGTCACAATAAAATATATATTTATCCCTGTTGCATTTTGTTAGTAACTAAAGTATAACGTTATTCGCATTGAAAATAGATACTCTGCAAACATGTAATATAGAAATGTAAACTTAATAAGAAGTCAATGGTACATGTTCAGCAAACACCTGCAACGTATGCATAGCTACAAATTGCAAGTACGCCAAGGGGTACAATGTGTAACTCTAACATATCCTACAACTAGACGTATAACTTGACAATGAAATAAATTTTTACGGTGCAATGGTATCCAAGTCTACTTGTAACATCCCACAATCATTCTATCCACCGAATAAAATTGACCTATCACTTATACCATATGAGAATTTGACCTAATCACGAAAAGTAAGTGTTGACCAATACATCTTGAAAATGAGGGTAAAGTCAGGTTATCCCGTCTGACGGACATGCTTACCATACAATGATACTATATACCTAATATAAATGTCCTATTACTTATAAAAACTTTAAAAAAATTGTGACAAAAAAGATATAGTTGTCCATTAACTCATTATAACTGGGAAAAAATCACATGATAAATACCCTGCATTTTTAAAACGATCATTGAACTATGAAAACGAGATAAAAGACAGCGGACATACGCCAGCCGAAAAATTCAGACCATACGGCATCTTTGTACTACATATGAATTATTCAGGTTTAAAATTTCCTGAAATTTACAGAAAGCCAACACCGTCCCTGACGGATGAGGATCCCTATGACGTGCATTCTGCAAATTTCAGGCGAGACAAAAACTCAGTCATTTTTGTTTATACATTTTCGTTACCTATTTTATTCAGTTCAAACATAGGTAATCTACAATTAATTTTCGTTTTGTCCTCAAATTTAGTTGATTGTTTTGCATTCACTTTCATTAAGAAAATAGAAACACCAAGGTGTCGTAGATACAGAACTTGCCACGTTAGAACAAAGATCACCAAATTCAAAAAGAAAAAAAAATCTTGCATTTTGTGTTGATGTATATTTGCGACTAATAGCAGCTTATTATATCGGTGGCTCATACCGCCAGCAGCATAACACTTACCTTAATCCCCCACTGGAAGTCTCTCTACAACCAAGAATATGAGTCGTGTCTCTACAACCAAGAATATAAGTCGTGTCTTTACAACCAAGAATATGAGTCGTGTCTCTACAACCAAGAATATAAGTCGTGTCTCTACAACCAAGAATATGAGTCGTGTCTCTACAACCAAGAATATAAGTCGTGTCTCTACAACCAAGAATATGAGTCGTGTCTCTACAACCAAGAATATAAGCTGTGTCTCTACAATCAAGAATATGAGTCGTGTCTCTACAACCAAGAATATGTCATATTCCATTTTTTCCATCCTTTGGTGTTATTTAGCAACGTTCTTTTTCCAGCCACATTCTAGACAGGTTAAATGCTATGTTAAAGCTGGGACCGATAGATCTATTCGTCCCAACTGTTATTTCCTATTCAATACAATAACTTTGCAAACATAAAATACAATTTTTCGTGAGAATAGTTGTTTGCATTTGAAAACTGTTCAATAAGGTCCTAATGATGATTTAAAAACGTAACAGGCAACATATCTTTATAAGATATTCATTTCATTTCATTATATATAATTCTGTTTCTGTCCAAATTTCTTGAGAATAGTCAGATTGTTTAGTTCTAATTTTTGCAGCTCTTGTTTAACAATATGTAATAGTAAACAAGTTTTATGATAGGTATACACGTTAAAATATATACAAAATTCCAATGTTAGCTAATTTTGAAAAATACCATACTGTACTCCCTAATAAAAACAAGAAAGTTAAAAAAATATTTGAAGGACTGTGTTATTCGAAAGATAAATGTACTAAAAACTTTTGACCGGATTTCTTTGTCAGTTTTTGGTTAATCGAACAAAACAATGCATATAGGAGTTATCGGTGATCTGTACTTTTTAAACAGGAAATATTTACTTGTCAAAATGACTAATAGTGTTAAAACTGGGCTTGTTTTTGGACAAGTTACATCAGCTAATAAGAAAATATTATTTTACAGTATATGATATTTCTTTAATCAAGTGTCGAATTATTTATACAGGTGAATATCCATATTTTTAAAAGTGAATATATGTCATTAAAACATATTATGAATAAAGCACATTAAAACATTTCTTAGATAACTTTGAGACCACGAGTGAAGCAAAAATATGGAGTCGTAAATAGCTCCGCAAGTTCCCTCACCTGTTGTTTTTATCAATAGATTAAGGTAGCCTTTTGGTTAGTTTAATTGAAAAGTTGCTTACTTTGATATTGTACTTATACTTGAACGAAACAAAACATCCATAAAACTGATTAAATATCAATTCTCTCCAATATGAACTATAATTGAGAGTTCATTCAATATCACTGATGCTAGAAACTAATGGTCAGTATAACATTTTCAAATTAATCAAGGCTTGGCACCAAACAAATTTCATTCCTTTGCGACATGTATGAGCTTAGATCTATTGCTAAACATACCAGTCATGTATGGCTAAAATCTAGGTCAAACGGACTAAAGTTTTGTAAATATCCCAACCAAGAATGCCAAGATATGATTGGTAATGCAAGAAAGCTTTTAGAATGTAGTCTAACTTATCGGAGGCTTTGATTACACAACACTGCGACAGAGGTGTAGTCTCTTTGGATATCATCCTATCAGCGGTTAGTACTTCGGAATGAATGTATATTAAATCTCAATTTTCAATGAAAAATAGAATTGAATGGTACATAGCAGTAAGAAAGGATAAAAAAAATATTACGATCACACAATATTTTACAAAAATATAAATTACAATATAATGAAATTATAATGGTAACGAATCATCATAATTGTTTCCAGACTAGCATGGAATGATGCTTGTTAATTCGCTTAAGTAGAGGTACTAGCCGCCTCACATTGTCCGAAACTTCACTAAAGAATAAAGATGAGTTTAATAAAGTATTTGAGCAATTCCTATTTGATAAATACCCGAATACTGAAAATCCTTGGGCAACAAAGACCACAACACTGTATTTGAAACGAGAACATTTAAGATAAAAGCTCTCACACCAGCTCAAATAAAGTGAGGCTGATTAATATAATTTGGCAATAAACCTATTGGGAATCTCCTGGGCATATTTGGTTATTGTTTATAAAGTTGGTTGAGCAATTTTGAGAACTGAATCTGATTCAATTTAAACATTCCATAAAAATAAGAATGAAAGTTGGTGGCATATTGCTTTACTCATCTGTATACCAATATAGGAACTTTCCAGGTATTTGATTTCAACTGCTTTATCTGTTTCAGGCTCTAATGGTTTGTCTCTCAAATCTTTCTTTGTGGCTTATTTTTTTTGCTTAAATTTATGATTTTTTGTATCATTCAATCACTGTGTCTGGTATATTTTTAATTTGCTCATTCATTTAAAGTTTGACGCATTTTCTTATGTTTGCTTGTATTGAAATTCTGTAGTTTGTTCTCGGCATTGCACGAGATCGTGCATTCCTGAACTGTTAATGACGTTGTTATAACCTTCTATGAAACAAAGCCACGGATGTTAGAGTATAGGACAGCATAGACTGGTACTCGACCGTTATTTGACAAGTTTGACAATACTTGTCTATTCCGAAGCATACTGAATATTTTACGGAGGAAACCAACCTAAGGACAGCATGACTTTAATATCAGCAGGTATTTGAGCTAACTTTCAGTAGCTGCAAGCATTCTTTTGTGTACCCTTTCAAGTTAGCCCTGTGCTTCAAATTAAAAAGGGGACGGTTGAGAACTAAAATAAAATATTTTACCCTGTAACATGTTCTTGTTTTGGAAAATGTAAATGTTGATGACAGATCTTGGATAGTTTTTGTTTAATTCATTTACAACGTTTCTTTTTTTAGATTCTACATGATTCAAAGTATGACAATTGTATTCCTGTCTATTGTTGAAGATTGAATGTTTTCCTCTACATGTGTTTTGGTTGTATCGTTGGGTTGAGATCTAAAATAAAAAATAAAATAGTTTAACCATGTAACATATGCCTGTGCCGGTCTTTTTTTTGCCTATTCCACAAATCTCTTTTTGTTGGCCTATACCACAAATCTCTTTTTAAATATTCTTGTATATAGCTCGCTGAAGGATATGCCG